GATAAAATCTTTTGCTATTCCTCTCCATCTGGCCCAGGACATCAGTCATCTCTTTGTCCAGCAGACCCACACTATATACACTACACATGTTAGTCACTTAGTAGCAGTCTAGGTTATCAGATCAATTATCAGAGAAAGAAACCACATTTACATAACTTTTGTTTTTATAATTGTTCTATTTTATTATTAGTTATTGTTGTCAATTCCTTACTGTGCCTAATTTATAAATTAAACTTTGTCATAGGTATGTGTTTATAAGGGAAAAAAACATATATATATGTAGGTTCAATACGATCTGCAGTTTCAGGCATCCGCTGGGGGTCTTGGGACAAACATGTCCCCCATGAGTAAGGGGACTACTGTCGTCAGATTTTTGTTTTCTCACTCTATCTGAAAACTTCTTCTTTTAGGTGATAAATCGGTTCCATTTTTCTCATCTGGTGCACCTTTCCTTTCTTTTTCTCTTGCAATCTAAATGTCTTTGCAATTTGAGATTTAAACCAGCCAATTCTGTAATCATTATTATAGGAACAAGATATAATTACAGGTCCTAGAAAGATAATTTGCTGTATCTGAGGGCCCAAGTCTAGGGGCAGCTCTTCCTCCTCACAGGAACAACCTCAGATGTAGGGGGCCAAATTCTAAGAAATGTCATCTTGCTGGGACTGGGGAAAACAATATGCTTTGATTGTGAAGTTCAAGGGAGGAACAACTAGAGAAGTCCAAGTGCTAAGAGAGAGGCCTGTACACAAAACTATTTCCGCCATCATTCTACCGAAAAGAGATTGCCTTGGATGCTCATGACCCTCCTGGTAAATAGGAGTCTCCCTCAGTTACCTGTCAGTCATCCAGCCATCTCCACTGCTGAGCAACGCTTGGCGAGACTGGGTGCCGGGCCCTGTGCTAGGTGGGACACCGTGGGCACCAGGGCGCGCTCCCTCCCTCCTGGGGTCACAGTCTAGTGGGAAGGATGCACCTGACCACAGGTTGCGGTGCCGGAGCCAGTCTGCATGCAGCTCCCCCCAACACACCCGCCGTCTCTGCACCTCGGCCTGAACGCCCTGCGGGCACCACCCCTTGGAGCCACCTCGCCGTGAAAGGCAACCCCCATAGCATGAGGTTTCCTGTACACTAGGGTTCATCTGAAACTCTCCCCAAATTTTTCCATTTCCTTCTATTCCACTACTTCTAAATGAGTTAGAGAAGGGAAAGAATCACTTTGGGGAAACTGATTTATCTTCAGTCACTCTTACAAGACCCTGCTGTGTTACTGGCAGAAAGACTGAGGGCAAAAAGCAAAGTTCAGTTGCAGTCAGGACGTAACTGATAAATCACTGATTAACCTGTGTACAAAAAAACAACGAAAAACCTCCCCAATAATCATTAATAGGACAACAGAATTCCCGTGTTTCCCCATTTTCCAATTATCTTTTTCAAGGAGAAATGCCAACATTCCCCTACCTGATGACATATATTCTGTAACTTCAAAGTAATTCATTCTCTGGGAAAAAGAGATGGCAAGAGATTGGTGTCCCTCTCTGCCTGTTTACCAGGCCTGTAAGCTGGGGTAGCTTTTGATCTTGTCTGCTTTTATGTAAAATGGAGAAAATTACACCTGATCTGCTTGAAAGGTGAGAAGAAAAAGATCCCTGGCAGATGACTCAAAGCCCCTTATTACTGACAGGGAACAGCTGTTTAATGAGAATGTTCTCTGTGAACCTCCAGTAAGAGGTCTTGGATTCCTATTTCAAGCGACGCCTAGGCTGAGGATGACGCTCTGGAGGGAATCTAAGTTTTCTCCCCATCGCAATTTTCAGATTCAGTGGATACCATAGTAATTCTAAAGAGGTCAGAATACCCAACTTCTTGAAACACAGTTCTGTGCAATGTTAAATTATAAATTAATTCCCTCTTACTGGAGTGCATTTAAAATGTACATACACTTCAACTGAGGAATCTCTCTTCAAGGAATTTACCCAAAGAAAAACCCAGTTAGCACAGAGCACAAAATTCTGTGTCCTTGGATGTTGGAGGAAATAAAGTTTTGCATCAGTAGGGACTTAGTAAAATATATGGAGATTTCCAGATTTATCTTCGACATGTGGTGAACTTGGAAGTTATCACTCCCATTTAAAAAAAAAAAAAAAAATTATTGATTTGAGAGTGAGAAGAAGGAAAGGGGGAGAGAGAGAGAAACATCATTGATCACCCTGATTGGGAATTAAACCGGCCACCTTTTGGTGCATGGGACCATGCTCGACCAACTCAGCCACACTGACCAAGGCATCACTCCCATTTTTAAACAAGAAGAAGCTAGACAAACTGAAAACCAATGACTTTTTTTTAATCCATCAGAGAGGTGAGGTCGAGAGTGAACTGTCACTCTAAAATCTAGAGATACAGGCAAATCCTGAGACTTACAGCCAAGACTGCTCAACCTGAAGCAAAGGTCACCAGGGCGATAACTTGTAGAAATTGCTGGACGACTGGTGTGAGAATGAGAAACTCCCTGGTTGCCACAGCCTCAGGAAGACCCCAAACTTGTATGGACTTTACCTGGAGGAGCATCACTGCCTTCATGGTAATGATCCCTTCATTGCTCTGGCTGCGGAAAGGGAAGAGTAGTCATTGCGAAATGTGCTCAGAGCCTTCATTTTAACAAAGACCTGTTCTCCAAAGGAAATGACTTTGCCAGAGCCCTGTGTCAGCTGTGTGAGGGACTCCCCCACCCCCAGTCTTCCTGTCTCATCTAAGGGAGAAAAAAAGAACATACCCAACAAGGTAAGGGCTTTAAGGAAACATTGGCAAAACTGAAGCCAGAGGGGAGAGTAGAGAGCGAATTTTTTTTTTTTTTAGGTTAAATTACTGGAGAAACACTTGTGAAGATCCCGGTCCGGAGACATAGGCCCACTGAAAGACTGAGATCCAATCATAAGATTTTAGGGCACCAGCAGAATAAAGTGGATTCTCTTTAAGGAGAAATTCTTAGGAAAGCCCTAAGACAACAGAGGACACAAAAACAAGGACACTCAAGGAATTTGAATCCTCCGGCACCCACAGCTCCAGCAAGCATTAAACGCCTTCAACTCCCAACCAGATCAATATAAAATCTTACACTAAAGGCTTCCTTACCTCAGCATTTCCAATGCATCATGTCCAGCTTTCATCAAAAGGTTGCAATGGACACTAGTGTGATGGGGAAAAGAGCACTGTCCGAAAAGACAAAATAAGCGTCCATCCGAGCCAAACTCAGGTATGACACAGGCATTGGAATCCTCAGACAATTTAAAGTAACTGTCATTAATGTTAAGGACTCTCACGAGAAAAGCAGACATTATATCATACCAAAGAGTAATGTAAGCAGAGAGATGGAAACTCTAAGAAAGAGTCCAAAGAAAATGCTAGAAATCAAAAACACTGTAAGAACAATAAAGAACGTCTTTGATGGGCTCATCAGAAAAAAATGAGTAGGAAAGAAACATAACAGAACCTCCAAGGACTGTGGAACAGTTTCAGAAGGTATAATACATATGTAATTATAAATACCAGAAGGAGAAAAAACAGAATAAATAGGTGAAGTAATAATGGCCAATAACTTTCCAAAATTAAATATAAATGGAATATTATGAAATAATTAGGAAAGGTGACTCAGGTTCATATTTTTGCATGAAAAACTGTATTTTTGCATGAAAAGCCACACTATAAACTATGGGCAGTTTATAAAATGTCATGAATATACACTAAATTAGCATGTATATATAATAAATTTCTGAAAGAGCCTCTACTAAAATATAATGGTCACATTCATTGTGATTTTATTTTTATTTATTTTTTAATTGATTTTTAGAGAGGAAGGAAGAGAGAGAGAAACATCGATGTGAGACAAACATCGATCGGTTGCCTCCCACAGGAGCCCCGACCGGGGATCTCACTGGCAACCTAGGTATGTGCCTTGACTGGGAATTGAACCCGCAACCTTCTGGTATACAGGACAATGCTCCAACCAACTGAGCCACCTGGCCAGGAGAACTTCTGCTCTTTTAAAACTGAGATCCACCAAAGGATGTGGCATAATGAATAGCTCATTTTTCTTTTTTAAACAGTGATTATGTTGAAAGGTGTGGGCAGAAATACTAAGCATTGGTTGTTTGGGTTAATTGGTTAAAGCATTCAGAATATTGGTGATTAGTCTGATCTTGGAGGCATCATGGGGAAATCAGAGAAGGAAGCTTAATGGGACACTGGATCCTGAATACTCGGAGTAGGGCATTGAAATACCTCATGTCATACACTTACTAAAATAATTTGAAAAAATGCATTTACCACAAACAATACGCATTTTACAAGAATACGTACCAACAAAAAGATATATATTAAACACTAAATAGCTGCCTATGGAGATTGGGGAAGGGGGAGACAAGAGTGGCAGATGAGAATTTAAGAAATTAAAATGTAAGGAGTTGCCCAGCTGCCCAGAGCCTCGCCCAGCTCCTTGGTGCCCCTCTCCTTCCCCCTGGAGCGTCCCCTCCCTAGCAACCCTTTTCTCTTCCTCTGTGGCTCCCCAGCACCAATACACATTTCTTTATCCACTCACTTCATGCATGTTCTCCTCTCACTCCTTCTTATCCACAGCCCTCCTCCATCCCTGGCCCGAACCCCACACCCATCGCCACCCTCCCCCAGAGAGGAGCTCACCCTGCTAGGCCCTGATGAAACACAAAACTAACAAAGCCAGCCCAGGAGACCTTCCCTTGGCCTGCCTTCCTCTCATTCCTCTCTCCCTCCTTTCCTTCCCCCACCCCCTCTGTTTTCCTCTCTCCCTGAGGCCCTGTGGCCAGCTCTAAAACCCCTGTGCTGTCAGAAGTGGTGGCAGTGACAGCCCCCGGCTCCCCTCCAGGGCTCCTCCCCTTCAGGCCTAATCTCAAAGTCCAGCCAGGGGTGAGCAGTTGGAGCTCTTCCTCCGACCAGCTTCCGTGGAATTTGGATTCTGACCCGGAGACATGATCCTGGCCTGGAGACATCTGCTAAGAACTTTGCCCCTGGAGACCTCTTCCCGCAGGACCCCCACGACATGCCCTTCCCCGAGCTGTGAGTGGAACCCGGGGGAGGTGGGTCTGCAGAGGGCTAGTGAGAGGGGAGGCCGGAGCTCTGGGCCTGGGGCCTGGGCTCTGAAATGTCAGACCTGGAGGGGATCTTGGAGATGGGTCATCGTCCGGTCCAATGCCCCCCTCTCATGTCCAGTATTTTCCAGCATTTTCCAATGAAATTCGTGGATAACAAAACCTGACTATCCACACTTTCAAAATAAAAACATGATACCTTAGCTGTAAGGTAAAAAAGAAATAAAAGGAAAGCAATTCAAAGTATTAACTAAAATATAGATAGATGCTCAAGGATGACCACTTTAGAAGACATACGGCATCCTCACGAATTTCCACCATCCCCTCAGTTACCTACACGGGGACCGAGAGAAGCACAGCCGTTAACTAACCTGGAGACACCCAAGAAACCAGGACTAAACCCGAGCCCTCCTCTTGGGCGCAGACACGCTCCACAGGAACAGAAAACCCGAGGGGGCCTGGGCAGCCACTCACCATGGCTTCAGGTCTCAGGCCCTGCGCACCCGTGGTTTTCACATGTCTGGTTCCACTACAGCCTCCGCACAGCCCGGCCATTTCCGTCACGCAAACCCGAGCACCCGCAGCTATCGGCAGGTTTCCGTTCCGCAGGGGGACCCTGGGCCTCACAAGCTCTAATCAGGCAAAGGGAGCCCTTCTCTATTCCCCACTGTGACCGATTTTATCTTCATTTCTCCATGCCTTTCCTTTCCTCTCTATCCTTTCTCCCTCCCCTATTTGCTTTATATTCCGCCGAAAATTGCAATTCTTTAAAACTTAACACGTCCAATACTTTAACCGATTGCCTCCTTCCCTCTTCCACCAGCCTTGTAGATGAGCACCATCGCCTCCTTTCCCAGGAGAGGAGACAGCCGAATAGAGAGTGGGTAGGGCACCTGGGCAAAGGCAGAAACATAGAAGGACAACTGGGATTCAAAGCCAGCTCTGTCTGACTCCAAGGTCAGCGTGATCCCCCGGGCCCTTTCTTACCCACGCTTCACCCTTTTTCTAATCCTGTTTGAATCTCTCGCTTCCCTCTGCCATGAGTCTTTTGCCAGAACATCACTTAACCCCAACATTTTCTAAGAAGGAGCTAGAATGATACCCAGAGTTGTGTGCTTGATGAGGAGGACACTGTTGAAAGCGAGAGGAAAATGCCCTCTCTGCAGCCCCTTCCCCTTCCTCCCCTCGCCCCTGCCAGTTAGGGAGCCGGGCTGATGGTGGCAGCAGGTGTCTTAGAAATGGCAGGTGAGGCTTGGTGTCCGGAGGTCCTGGTCAGCTCGCTGGGGACTCCTTAACGTAACTCCACTGCAGAGGAGAAGTAACCTTGCAGACTCACAGCACATAGGCATGAATGCCATGCTCTTTACCTGGCCTTTTTAAAGCCGTTGGAGTTTGGCCCTGGCCAGGTAGCCCAGTTGGTTAGAGTGCTGTCCCAATGCGCCAAGGTTTTGGGGATGATCCCCAGTCAGGGCACATACTAGAACAAACCAATGAATGCATAACTGGAACAACAAATCCATGTCCCCCCCCCCCTTTCTCTCTCTCTCTGTCCCCCTCTCTAAAACACAATAAAGAAAATTTTTAAATATCAATAAATAAAATCATTTGGAGTTTGATTTCCACTTTCTTACCTACTGAGCCCAGGTATATGCCTGCTTGTGTTAGTTCACCCAAACACACACTCATTGAACACACTCTTCTTAAGAACCTGCTGTGTGCAAAACACACATCCCCCTATGTGTCTAGGCTCGTTTCACTTACTGACTAACCATCTTCCCTACTTGCTTGCTGTCTGTCTGCCTTCCTTCCTCCCTTCCTTCCTTTCTGAGAACAGGATTTTATGTATTTCATTTGGAGCCCTCATCCCTCCCTCATATTTCTATCAGTTGGGTGAATGACCGAGTGAATGAATGAATCTGCTTTGACTATTTAAAATCCCAGGCTTTCCTTTATCAAATCTTTCTTTCCAATTCTCTCCCCCCTTCAGCCCACTTTCATAATTCCTATAACCCTGAAGTCAAGAGAGCTTACAGCCTTCTCAATGGGCAACCCCAATTTTGCAGGTAGGAAAATGAGACTGAAGGTGTGAAGGAAGTTCGAGTTCTTAGAAACACTCGGAATTTTTCTTTCATCTCAGAAGAGTAGCTAACATAGAGGGACACCATGAAAAGCTTTTCAAAAGGTGAAATTCTCAGAAAATTTACACTGTCGGTTTGGGGTTGGCTATTTTTATGCATGAATAGCTAAAGGCCACTTGCTTTTAAAGTAAGAGCAAAGTAATGACCTCCGTCATTCTTCAGAGCAGAACAGTGAATGAGAGCTCTTAAAAGGAAACAGAGTGCTGCGACCCTTCCTCTTCCTGTGCAAACGCAGCCGTTCATTGTGCCTCTCGGGACTGCCACATGCCAGCCACGCAGAACAGCAGCGCTTCCCCCGTGGGCTCAGGCCCTCGCGCCGAGCAAGAGGCCTCATTGCCCTCAGCATCCTCCAGCTGCAAAACTATCTCGCCACTGACCCTGAGGCTTCAAAATTAGCAAGTTCTTTTCCGAGAGCACTCACAAAATCTCTAGACATCTCTTCCAGCTCTGATGCCTGGCTCCACTATTCCATTAAATCTGCGCTGGAGGGGGCCGAAGGGGCCCTGGGTGAGCGAGCATACGGGGCCGCGAGTCAGCAGCTCGGAGGTTCCTTCTTGTGCTGCAGCTACCGAGCTGGGTGAATTAAACAAATTAATTCACCACTTCGGGCTGGTTTAATCGTCTAGAAAATGAGTACTTTAACCAAAAAAAAACGAAGGTCCCCCTAGCTCCAAATATTTAATGATTCTTCTGGCTCAGCTTCTTTGCTTTTCAGTCTTGTGCTGTTGTGATCTTAGTGGTGGTGTGTTTGGAGAAGGGTTTTGTCTTTCTGATCTACTTGCACGTAGTATTTATTAATATAGTGCATTGCCCAGCATCTCTCTCTCTCTCTTTATTCCCTATAAGAAAAGTCAAGAGCCATTCATTCCTTGTTTATCGGTACTGGGGTTCAGGCACTGGGCAACCCAATGCTTAGAAAGTGCCTCTGTTAACAAGGGGGATATATTCCAGCAACACACAGAACTGGCAGAAGTTTGGTCAACTCAAAACCATGATATCCCCAGTATCTTCCACACCTTTCCTGACTACATGTGAGAGGAATTAGTTTTTTTCTCCAGAAAATTCATTATTGAGACACCTCAGGTTTTGAAATCCAAACTAAAGACTGATTTAAGTGATTTTTTTAAAAATAAGAAATAAAATATCCTAAGGACCTTGATTCAGGGGACTACAGGTGATTTATACAAATGGGCCTATGTGATGGTTAGTTGAGGATCCTAACTCACTTCCCTCTTAGTAGGCACTTTCTGGAGATCTGTAACCAAGCGCGGTCTTCATTCAAAACCCAGAATGCCTCCATGTGACTTTACACCTGAGAGATACCAGGTAAGAGTTAGAGCTTCAGGAAAACCCAAAAGAGGTGGTTTCTCTCGAGAAGGCTGTTAATTGTTTCCTCAGGGAGGACCCGCAAATGGCCCTGCCTGCCACCCAGCTGTCCCATCCCAGATAGTCTGCCCTTTAAATCACTGGGAGCATCTGCACCTCTGGCTCCATTCAGCGCCACAGCGTGAATTGGTGTGTGTCTGTGAAAGAGAGACAGAGACAGAGGCAGAGATGGAAGACAGAGAGACAGAGAGCAAGAAAGAGATGAGCCATGACGACATAGCACGAGGATAGAGAAATACACACATACATAAAACATCTATCACGCAATGGGTTGGCACACACTGGCTTTTAAAACTGATCGTCTGATTTTGACTGTCTCGTATGGCAATGCATGCTCTGACCTCCCTGAGCTCTCCACCGAAAAAAATAAAAAGTTATTATTTTGTTTTCAGGCTAATAAGTCTCTCTCTCTCCCCCCCCCAAACTTTTTATTCCACATAATGTTCATAGGTTAGATATTCATAATATTCATAGATAGTCAGGAGGGACTTACAAAGAAGAGAAGCAGAAGCGACAGGTCTGATAATTCCAGACACGAACATCACCAGCACTTGATTTTTCCATTCTAAATTTTAAAAATACAGCAAAATGAAAACAATTTTTAAAACCTGACTTATTTCTTCAGACATTTACTTTCAAAGTCGTTTTGTTTTGTTTTTTGTTTTGTTTTGTTTTGTTTTGTTTTGTTTCACAGCTAAATCAACTTAAAGCCAGGCTTTCCATTGAGAGGTAGAAATCTTCCGTCCCCTTCTTCATGTTTGATCTAGAAAGGGACCGAAAGGCCACATTAATCACTCTCCCCATTTGAAAGGAAGGGCCTTGGTGTCCCTCAAGGAGGACACCGGGCAGACTCCCCCAGTGGGGAGCACAGGGCAGCAGCCTTGCCCTGGGTCAGTAGGGAGGCGAGGCACTGCCGCGGTGACCTGCTGTTATAAGGACTGTGGCAATAAGGAAAGGAAGACTCTTAACGCTGAAATGCCATCTGCCCACAGTCCCTGCCCTACCGCCGTGTCCTGGAGATCTACAGGCAGCACCTCTCCTCTATGCAGACGGCCTACTTCCCGGAGCCGCTGCTGCTCCACCAGGGCCACATGGAGTGGCTATTCGATCACCAGGGAAACAGATACCTGGATTTCTTCTCTGGGATTGTCACTGTCAGTGTCGGTCACTGCCACCCGTGAGTATCCTTACAATTCTGGGGTTTTCACTCAGAAGAACATGTGGAGAACAGGAGAATGACCTTGTTAGTGATTCAGACTCCTGATTAAAAATTTCCTCCTCTCGAGTATTTCCCAGCTTATGGCTGACATGCTCCCTGCTGTTTCCTGGGTAACAAAAAAATCTTAACACTGTTCTTTTTTCTTGACGATGCAAGTTTTAGCCACTCTCATTGCCTGTGCAACAGGGAGTGTACCGTGTGACTGGACTGCTGCTGTGTGTGAGGATTTCCCCTCACTAGTAACAGCTTCCTGAGGGGGAAATGCACTGGGGAAAGGACCGAAGGAAGGGAAAGGCAGGCAGTTCTCACTCACTTGGGGGCTGCTGTGTGGGGTGGGGGTTGGGAGAGAAGAGGGAGCACTTCCAGCCCAAGGATCTTCATCAGCTGCTCTAAGTGATGGAAGCGGAGGGAAAGGACCCTAAGAGAAGGGTATAACGTGGCTGCAAATCTACACTAGGAATGTGCGGGTCCATTAATCTTGACATTCTCTGCTGCCTTAGTCATCAGCCCACCCTCACCAATGCTCTCGACAGGTTCTTCGGTGGTCTTTCTGGTTTTAGTGCAGCCATCTCATTTTAATGCCTGTTTTCTCTTGCCTTTAATAACCTAGCCAGTAAAACTCACATTAACTGGGGCAAAAATAAAGCAGCAAGCCTAAATAAATGGGATAAGCCTGGGCCCGCCTGTCATAGGAGGGCCAGGGATCTCCCCTGCAAGCAGCTGTCAGGTGGCGAGGAGTGAGTTTCAACCCCGGGGTCCAGCCCTTGACCTTCTGCTCCCATTTCCATTCCCTTTCCATTTCCACCTTCAGGAATCATTAGTCTCATGTGAGATCCTGAGGAGCATGCAAAATAAATTTCAGGTGAAATTTAAAACAGGACAAACACACATGAAAGAACTAAGGAAAAATGAAGTAAATAACTTGTTTAACCTTCTCATTGAACATTTGCAGTAACGATGGACATTGTCCCTGTTGATTGACCCCTCTCGTTGGCTCTCCTGACCTTTGTGCATCTCCTGATCTCCCTCTGACCCCCTCACTCTGGGTGGCCCAGGCTCTTTCCTTAGTACCCTGCTCTCCCCTCTATATTCCCTTTGTGCCTTATCACTTCCTGAATAGAGTGGTTCCCACCCCATCGCCCCACCTCTGGTCATTTAGTTGCTACATTTTCAGCAGCCTTACCCAACTCTATTTCTTCATCCTTGGACCCTCACCAAGCTATGATAATAACTAATAAATCCAGAGTGGGAATTAGACGCCCCATATTTCCCTTGCCTCATGACATCCCACCATCAACTGAAATTCAGCGGTATCAAGACCAACTCCACCATGTGCTCCACAGTACTGTTCCCATTCACATGTTCATTCCTGTTCACATGAGCCACCTACTATGTGGAAGTTCTCAGTTAGGAGCTGGGTAGCTGGACAACTCTGTATTTCTCAACTGATCCTGGGTTTCCCCTATGTTACAAGAATGTTGATGTCATCTTTGACTTCCCTGCCTTTCATTCCCGATAACCAACCAAGGTCCAGTTTTCCCTCCACTGGATGCCTCTCCTACTAACCCCTCCCACTAATTCCTGCGAACACCAGTCTCCTAGGAGCTCTCCTCTTCCCACACCCAGAAGGCCACCCCATCCTCCTAGCTGGCCTCACCAGCACCAGTCTTCCTCCCTCCGTCCTACCCTCATGTGGCTCTCAGATTTATTTTGCTAAACAATGCTTTTGTCAAATGTCTCTTCTGTCTGAGAGTTTATTGGCACTCCACAATTTTCTAAAGGTAGTTCCTTGGAACACTGACCGCAGGAGAGGTTTGTTGATAAAGGGTCCTTAGAAGAAATAAGCTTGGGAAACACTTTAAACTTATCACCCTCCTGGGGAGAAATGGTGCACATGAGACTATTAAAGGTACTGAAAAGTCTTGCAGTCAAATCTGTTTGATCTGGCATTGCTCAAATTGTTTAACCACTGAACTGATTTTTTTCTTTTGGTGTGACAGTTATTAATAAAGAACAGATTGGTGTGTAACAAACTCCAGTCATTGCTAGCCTTTAGATCAAGATCAAACATCTGGATCTGGCTTTTCCAGGCATTCCAAGTTGGGTCCTATATGTCTATCTACCCTTAGTTCCTACCATCCCTTAACATGAACCTTCTTTCACAGAATGTGGTTTCACAGTTATAAAATGTTCAACATTCACCACTACTAAGACCCGGATATTGGAATCTCCTTTGGAGGAAAAAATATTGATCTTGTATACATGTGCTTCATGACTCTAGCTCTCTAGTTTCCAAACTACTTAATTGTGTAATTAATAAGAAAACCTAGTTCGAAGAAATTCTGAGTCCAAACTCTCTCCTAAACTAGGAATTTCTTTTCTAAAATCCTTGTGAGATAATCATTTAGTCTCCTTAATTACCTTCTGAGGCAACACATCCCATTGCCAGACACATCTGGTGGTTAGAGCTGTTTCTCATGGGCGGATGAAATCAGCCTCTTGAGACAACTCTTTGAGTTCATTGCCCAGCGCATGTGTCAGGAGGGACGTCCCCGCCTGCAGTGTGGATAACTCTGCTCTCCTATTTATCCAGGAAGGTCAACACAGTGGCACAAAAGCAGCTCGGCCGCCTGTGGCACACAAGCGCAGTCTTCTTCCATCCACCGATCCATGAGTACGCAGAGAAACTTTTGGCACTTCTTCCCGAGCCTCTCAAGGTATAAAGCTCCCAGCTCCAAGAGACAATAGTCTCCAGATCCCATGGGAGCTGCCCCAGGAAGCAGGAATATGGGCAGGGAATTTGGTGTGTACACTGAACAGCTGAAATAGTGAGCTAATGGCTATATCTGAAAGGAATCAGGAAGACAGGAATTTACGAATCATTGGTGAACCCAGGCAATGTTGATTCTCTTCATCAGCCCCAAGTCTCTGGTCGCAATCCTCACCACTTGGCAGGGGCCCTGCCCCCTGGCTCTCTCCTTTATGTTCCCCAGGTTTTCATCTCTGTTTCATAGTCCCTCTGCAAAGTCATTTGCATTTTTTCTTTTACAAAGAGTGGAGCCACTTGTAAATAAAATAAATATACTATTCTGTTTATTTAGTTTAAAATGTACTTAGATATTTTTTTTTTGCTAAATGAGATTTTTTTCTCATTTTCAGAAATGACTGAATTTTTTAACTGAATTGAGATGTTAAAATGTTGGCCATGATTTGTATCTAGAGATGCAATGAGTTGACATATATTTGGTACCTAGAACTGTACCTTGTGTTAGCTACTATTATTTGACTATATTATCTGAATACTCTATTTGCTATAGTATCTAGAGAGATGAGAAAGTTGGAATAGCTGCAAACTAAGTTCAGCCCTGTCATGTTGATGGAAGAACAGAAGCCTCTCAGTCCCCAAGCCTGGAGGATCCATACCCTTCAGTTCTCCCCTTTCTTTTGGCCAAGATGAACTGCATTTTGTGTTTCTTTGCTTGTTTATCAACATTCACACACACTGAACTTACGGACTGGGACATCCTTGGAGCTACAGGATCAGGGAGCCTCCTAGTCCCGAGCTTTCTGATCAGGTGAGGTGGTTTGGGTTCAGGAACCAAGAGACCTGGTGCTAGGATCCAATTGGCCACTAACCACCACGTACACCTCAGCAAGTGTCCCCACCGTTAGCATTTTGCAGAACATCAAATAAAGCCAATGAAAGTCTGAAATGTTTCACAACTGGGACAATCCCGGAGCCAATTTTGTATCTCTAGCACTCAGCAGCTGCTCAATGAAAAGTTGTAGAATTAATACAATAATTAAATGACAGAACTGCTGGTCTGAAGGAAACTCTCCTTAACACATTGTTTGCGGGTAGTTTTTATCGCGCGCTCTACTACCAGTCAATGTAAAACGTATAAATACGTTTCCCGCATACAATGTGTTAATAATCAGAGGCTGAGACACAGTCTTCAGCAATTTTGAACTAATTGGATTAATAAGAAAGTGAATTGAAGAATGAAGCCATGTGTCTTTCTTTCCCTCCAGGTCATTTTCTTGACAAACAGTGGCTCAGAAGCCAACGACCTAGCCTTGCTGATGGCCAGAGCACACTCAAAGAACATAGACATCATTTCTTTCAGGTAACCACACCTTGGGATATCTGACTTTACTGACATTAGCTTGCCCCAGTGCTAAACGTCCAGCTTTCATATATAGCATGGAGGGGCTTTCCCAGGGGTATGTTTCCAATTTTAGGTTTTAAAGCAAGATCAGTCCAATGAATTTTATGACTGGATGACCCCATCCAAATTGACCTGATCCAAGGTAGGGGTCCCTGACTGGGGTAGCAAACAGAGTGGAGCCCTAGTAATGTCATAGATCCCCTAGAGAATTGAAGGTCACATCACAGCTTTCTGACTTTGAAGATGTGCTTTGATGATGACATATGCCAGGTGGGGAATTCCTGGTCTCCACTCAGAGAAGTTCAAGACTCTGCCATAGGACACTGGGCCCACTTATCTCTGTTTATGATAAGGAGCCAGGCACATTTCCCAGTGCCAGCCGCACCAGGTTTTCACTTTTTATTCTTTTTCAGTTTAGAGGATGCATAGCTAACCCTGCATACTTCTGCTCCTTTGGGTGACTTTTGAGAATCAGAGGATCAATAACTTAATAAGTATTAACCCTTGATGGCTAAATTATTAGCATTAAAAATAATAGAAAACTAAGAATTTTGCTTATAGTTGTCTCCCTCAGATAATTTTACGTAGCACATTCAAACACTCTTATAGTAAGGTTTATGTAAAAGACAGGAGTGAGTCATAGTAAAAATTGATGGAGTGAAGAAATAGGCCCATTTTTTCTCCTGTATGGCCATATCTTCTGTCTAGACTGGGAAGAATTGCTTTCTGCACAATTTGATTACAAAAGCACACCCAATACTACCCATTCCATACAAAATGCGTATGTAGTGACTGCAGGCATGAGAAAACATTTGCTATCAAAGAAATATGACTATAAAGAGTTGTGATTGAGCCCGGCCGGGCATGGCTCAGCGGTTGAGCGTCGGCCTAGGATCCAGACGATCGGGGTTCGATTCCCAGTCAGGGTACATGCCTGGGTTGTGAGCTCGATCAATGACTTTCTCATCATTGATGTTTCTATCTCTCTCTCTCCCTTTCCTTTCCTCTCTCTGAAATCAATAAAGATATATTAAAAAAAAAAAAAAAAAAGAATTGTGATTGATATTTTACCTAAATAAACATTCCAGAAGATGTATGTCCAGGTAAGTATTACTCTATTTAAAGCAGTCAGGGTGCCACTAGGGTTCAACACATGTTTGGGTCTCCTCTTTGAAGATAGATGACCACCCTATTGCATAGTCTTAATTCACAGTCCTAAATCAGCACTTTGAGCGATTTTGATTTGGGAAATTGCCCAAACTCATTTGAAGTCAAAATTGACGATTAGGATGATTTGTACTCAATAGGACTGTTTCCGATTCAAAAAGAAGCAAAATCTATGTTTCTTCTATGCCAAATAAGGTGGCTTTTAAGGCACTTAAAGAGGAGCCCCAAAGGTGTTAAGCAACAGCTGCATCACAGGAAGAAACACTGGGCTTCTCAAGGTGACTATTTTGAAGACAAATATTCATTGAATATATAATTTCTGTCTTGTTGCTAAAAGATGAGTCTCACTACTTTAGAGTAACGGAATAGGGCAGGTGCTAAGGTCAGAATTCTTGGCTAGATGGTCCCAAAATTTCTCCCACAGTTTCAAACCTATGGCACCAGCAGGAAAGATAAATAAGTCAATTCGCCTGACGTAGGCTTAGAAGATTTCTTAGAAACCACTGGAGTTGCATGTTAAGGCTATTCCATTTTATCTCTATGGCCTTCATGTGTTTTCTCTGTTCTCCTACCCCATGTTCCACAGACCAGAACTTAACTCTGTCCTACTGTTTTCTTCTCCTCAGAGGAGCCTACCACGGATGCAGTCCTTACACACTTGGCTTGTCAAACGTAGGGCCGTTCAAGATGACACTCCCCGGTGGGGTGGGCTGCCAATCAGTGAGTTTTGAGATTTTTGTCTTATTTCCCTAAAGGCTGCTGAGTACATGGAATAATTGATCAGATTTTCCAGGTATTAGCATTAGAAACTAATATAGAACCTATCATTAACCAGGGATTCAATTTGACTTAATTGTATTAAAGACTATTTTGGGGAAATGTTTCTTAGAAAAGTCTTCAGAGTGTGAGTAATAATTAATAATAGGGTTTTTTAAATTTGTTTTGCTCTTAAATAAAATCAAGTAAATTTCAATAAATGCATTGAAAATAGTTCTCAAAGCTTTGAATGCATAAAATGTCTATAGATTCACCTCTGTCCCCACCTTTTCAGCATCAGATACCTAATTATTCTTATTCTTTCAGATGCCCTCCCCCACCCAACCCTTGAACAAGTTGGGTCCAGGCTGTTACTGAAATCAGTTTTCTTTGTAAAGTGCCCACACAACTATTTCTAAGAAAAAAATTATCTCTTCAGAGCAGAAGATTAGGTTTTCATCCTAAGTGGGAGAGGAATCTCAATATCAAATTAAGAAACCCTCTTGCCTTGATTGGTACCATATGTTCCCCCAAATTGGCTGTCTTCTGTTCATGTTTGGCCAAACTTCTTCTTTTGTCATTTGCAGACAATGTGCCCAGATGTTTTCCGTGGCCCCTGGGGAGGAAGCCACTGTCGAGACTCTCCAGTGCAAACAATTAGGAAATGCAACTGTGCACCAGGTCCCACGGGGCAGGGAGGGAGGTACCTGGTGGGAGGTCAGGGGGAATAAGGAACTTGAAGAGAGACCAATGCATTCCTGGGGGAAAGTGGGAAAGGAAACAAAACTAGAAAGTAACCCCTCATTGAATCATTTTTTCCTGCCTACTACCACTCAGCTATCTGGCTGTTAAGAAAAGCACCTCATGCTACCAGAGCTAAACTAAAAACAGACTGTCAGCTGGTAGTTAATTAAAGAAGCTGTTAGCTCTATTAGTGATAGCTCTGCCATTGATCTTAAAAGAAAACAAGGTTGGTGGAATTATGTACCAATTTCCGATGGAAGCGGGGGAGAGGAAAAAGAATACTTTTAGAAATCTCAAAACTCCAGTCAAGAAGCTCCCCAGGGACTCAGCATACCAGCTAAAATGAGAGCATCTGTCAAAATATAAGGCCATCCCTGAAGGCTTCTGACAGCTCTTGCAGATGTTCTGAAGCCATTCTCACAAGGAAAGCTTCTATTTATCAAACACTTTTGTTTGCTTTCTTTACACTTGATCTTAGCCAAAAAGCCGAGAAGTGATTGTTTGCATTCTTTACATAAGGGAGGGGAGGCATGGAAATAGTATCTGTTCTTTGCTAATCCTCAAGTCCAACCTCATATTTATCATTACAGTTCAGAACCTTTTCAGTAGCCGCTCCTACAGAGTGCTGGAGGAAAGAGCTAGATGCTCCAGCTGAATGAGTGTCACTGGGTTGAGAGGAAGAGTGCAAGTGGGTCTTTAAAATCAGCTTTGGAAGGAAGAAGATTCACAGTCATCTTAAAATTCAAGTGGGATAAGGCAGATGGAGTTAGAAAGATGAAAGAACGAGCACTGGAACAAGACATCATGGTCACAGAACTTAAAACTGTAAGGAAGTTTACAGTCATTCAAACTCTTTAGAGATGAAGAAACCAAAGTCCACACTTAGGAAGCAGGAGAGCTAGGGCTTGACCTCGAGTCTTCTGACTCCAAAGCCAGTGCTCCCAACCTATGACCACCCTTGTTCACACTGATGTCCCAGCAGGATGAACCCAGGCTTAAAAATAACTCCTGTTCTGTCGGCCAGATTGAAGAGACACATGAAGTCAGGAGACCTGGATCCCACTCCAGGCCCTCAGGGCTCAGCTAGGAGAGAAAGCTCCATCTTTTGCTTCAGTTTTCTCATTTGTGAGATGGAGATAAGAACACCTGCCTCCCTGACCTTTTATCCCAGGGCTTCATGAGATCAAGGCAAGGGAGCTTTTTGGTCAGGAAGGCAGATAATAGCAACACCAAGTACAACCAGACCTGTATATCTTATCTATATGGCATCAAGAACCAAACTCACTTGGATGCACCTCACAGACCTGGATATGACTGCAAAACCACCAGCACAGAGCCTCGTAGGCAGAAGGACTCAAGGGATGGTCATTTCCTTCCCTCTCTGTTCTTCTCTGACTCCATTGTCTTTGCTTCCTCCCTCTTTGAGGTCTTCTCCTCTGCCTTAGGCCAACTGGAAGATACCAGAAGCCCATGGTCATCTCCCTAGTGGCAACTGGAGGCTAAATGATAGTGACAGATGTTCATTTCTGCTTCTCTGAACTGTGTTCTTGGCATATCTGAAATCATCTGTTTTCTTACCTCATTCTTCAAGAAACAAGGCTGGTACCATGTCTTAACAGAATTGGAATACAGAAAGGGACTCCGTCGACCCCTAGTGCTTTTAGGACCTGAGAAGTGTTGGTCTTTGCTGTAAAAAGGTTTATTCATACGTGTTTACAAATGCATTCCAATATGTAAAGCACATGCCAAGTATAGAAGGTTCCCATTACTGGGTTCCTCTTAGGGTCTATTCAGGTGCCAATCTTGGTAGAAGTTTTTTTGCCTTGGAACTATGCCATCACCCCCACACAGGCATAAGCAGTGGTCCATTTTGTGAGCCTAATATAGACGGTTGTGTGGTAGGTTTCATTCTCTTTCCTCCCCCCCGTCATCAGGAAGTGTTCAATCCAGGCCCTGAATTTCATTCACCCCTCCATACCCACTGCCCCCACAATGTCCCCAACCTCGTACTGACCATGTCATTCTTCTTCACTTTTTGCAACACAAGTTTCATTTTCCTTAATTTTCTTTTTCTTTCTTGGCTCCTCACTCTACTTAACTGTTTCTACACCACTGGCTAGAAAGAGAACTCTTCCTTCTCCGTGCTGTTGCTGGGATGGTATCCAGCAGAGCGTCCACTCTCACCACCTTGACGTTGTCATGGTGACACACTGCACCAAGTCCCTCTCCAGAGGCAGCCTGACCTGGAGTGGCAGCAATGAGCCAAGGAAACAAATGCGGATGGAAGTAAAATGCTGATGACAGTGACGACCCCTCTCATCCCTGAACTTGTGGGCAGTGGGGAGGAATCATGAAAGGTCTAGCAGAGTCAAGCAAAACCTTCTCTGGGTTTAGTTTTGTCCAAATTTAAGCCATTGGGGTTGATTTTGCTCAACACTTTGATTTCTCTAATTATAAATGGGCTTACTGAACTTCCAAATTATATCTTTTGAACATATGTCTAATCCATCCCTTAGGGTCACCCTAGGCTGCTTCCTCTTCCTTTCTTAAAAATAGGAAATCCCAGTCTCTAGAGGCGTAGATTCGTTCGTCTCCTCTGTCCTGCCCGCCCAGCAACGGGGCTGATGCTCAGCGCGTGCCTCTGGGTTTTATACCCTCTTCATTACCTCCTTCTTCGCACCCCAGCCCCCAGCCCCCAGCTCTCACTAACCAAGGGCGTCAGGTACCTCTGTCAAACAAGCTTTCCCAGACATCACTTATAGCCTAAAAATTGTGTTTGGGGCCAGGTAGACTTTCCCCAAATTTTTATTGAAGAGCTGGAGTATAAAATAGAGTTATGCTTCAGTCTGAAGAGTGATGACTGAAAGCCTCTATCCCTCATCTCCGGCCTTCAGGGGACAGGGCTGCAGCCTGCCTCCAAGCACGGGTTAGGGTGCAGGTGGTGACTCATGCCCCTGACAGCTTTCACTGTGACTTCCGTCACAGAGCCACATCGTCCTCTGATCCCTTCTGCTGTCCATGGATATGGGTTTAAAGTCAAAGACTCTGTGGTGCTGTTTAGATCCAAATTACAGGTGTGGATAAAAATTCGGAAGGTTGGGTCATGTCTGGATGTGTCCGTCTGGGAGCTTTGCTATTTCAGAGGGGAGCGCCTCCCCTCCCTCGCTGCAGCGGATGGAAGTTATCGGGCTCTAGGACATTCCTCTTTAGACTGAATTCTAATTGTTCTGTAAGCATATTTACTAACTCTGAAGACTGAGACACTCTGTAGCTTTAAAATTGTATATTGACTTAAGTGTCAATAAAAGGTGCGCAGAGGTATTTTCAAATAGCTTAAATCCACACCCCAATTCCATTTGAATGAAATCTATCCAGATGAGAGGGTGGGTCTCCTCAAGTGAAGCAGAATTCTATCTATACCAGACTCAATGACACTTCAGGCACTTCTTCCCCAGACGGAAAGGGCTGAGATGGTTTATTTATGCCTTTGTGGTCACCTTCATCGTGCTCCTTGAGCCAAAGTACGAGTCATTCTGACAGAATGTTCCCGCTTCAGAAATCAACATCCTCATATCCTGGTTTACTGTTTCCTTTTTTCTGTCTTCCCCACTCTTTTAGATGTCATTTTCACATCTTCAAATACTATGTTTTGTTTGTTTGTTTGTTTGTTTGCAGACTCCTGCCAAGCTAAAGACCAGTACCTTGAACAATTCAAAGATACTCTGAACACTTGTGTGGCCAAATCAATTGCTGGATTTTTTGCAGAACCAATTCAAGTGAGTATATTAGCCTGAGACTTAACCCAGTTTTAAGTTGTCAGAGTTTTAACTCATATTTTCTAGAGGATTTTAAAATTATTTAACCATTTCTATGTCCCTCTCCAAATTCAATTCATTCTCTTGGCCCCCTTGGAAAGAAGAGAGCCTCTGATTTTCAATTGGCTTACAAAAATACCACCTTCTGGATTCCTGGACTGAACAGATGGGTATATGAAACTATTAAAATCTTAATATTCTGAAGAGAAGGAAACCCCAGCAATTTTTACTTGCTTAACACCCACACTGTCAGGGGAAGCCTTTCTACAGGATGGGGCAAAGATAGGTTTACAGTTGTTTGTGTGGAAATAATGCAATAATTAATAAATAATAATACAAGAATAAACTCTGTGTTTCATGTACTCATAACTATAAACTTACTTTTGCCCACCCTTTATCATTTTACTAAGTGCCCTTAATCTACTTTTATTCTAATCTCAGGAAAGCGTACACTGGCATTCTTTTCCCAGAAGGCATGGCATAAGAGTAACAGCTCCTCTTTTCACCCGTAGTTGAAACAATTCTAGAGACTGTTTTAAAAATTGCTGGAATTGCAATTCCTGTCAAAATGGCAGATTAGGTAAAACGCTGTGCTCAGCTCCTCTCATGAGCATGACCACATGAAAATTACAACTAAACTGTAGAGCAATCAACCTGGAGAACCACCTGAAGACTAGCTGAACAGAAGTGCTAACACCAAGGATGTAACGAAGAGGCAATGTTGAGACTGAAAAAAAATTATTTTGAGTGTAAATNGGAGAACCACCTGAAGACTAGCTGAACAGAAGTGCTAACACCAAGGATGTAACAAAGAGGCAATGTTGAGACTGAAAAAAAATTATTTGGAGTGTAAACAAAATTGCTAGTATTACTAATGATGATAACCTATCTTCTTTTTTTAAATACTTTCCAAAGGCTGTGCTATTGTTATAGGCCTTCTTGGTTTGGTCTTTTGCAGGGGGTGAATGGGTTTGTTCAGTACCCGAAGGGGTTTCTGAAGGAGGCCTTTGAGCTGGTGCGCAAGCAAGGAGGCGTGTGTATCGTGGACGAAGTGAGTGCCGTGGAATAGAGCACAGTGGTGCAGCTGCAAGAACCAAGGCCCAGGGAGAGCTCCTTAAATCTCCTCTGTAGTCCAGGCAGAAAGCAGCTAGTGCGGAAATTCCAAGATGGGGGTATAAGTTAGTGGAGTTTTGCGAATTAGCTGGCTGATTATTGGTGGATTTATTGGTCTGTTTAACAAGTGCAGGCAGCAAATTGAAGCCTATCACAAAAGTTGCTAACAGGCACAGGTGAGACTGCCATCACTCAAAATATTTTTAAATTCCTATTTGGGGATACATCAGGGGCCACTTAAAAACCACATAGGAAATTTAATCTCATAACCAAGACTTCATTAAGTAATTTTTGCCTAAATAGTATTAACCAACTGGGCAGCATTCACCTTATCTTAATAACAAACTTTGTTTGGAAATTATATTAAAAAGGAAAAAAATCCAGCCTCTTAGTCAGAACAGGGCCATCATTGCAGATATTTTCAAAAAATAGTTCCAAAAAGAATTCTAAAATAGCTTGAGTTAAGAAGGAATTGTTGCCATAGCATACAGTCCCTCCAAGGGATGACTTTGAAAGGAAGAGAATTTTTTGGCTCTGTGAGCTCTAGCCTGTGTGTTTTTTAAAAGTGATCGATTTACTTATAATCACACCTCATATTAGAGTCTATAAAGAAAGCAGCCTTTTGCCTACTGATATTAGCAATGGGGATCAATGGCCAGAGGATGGCGGCCAGGACCCCAGAAGTGCTCCAGGCTCCTTCATCACAGTTCTACTAGCAATGGCTCGTCCCACCAGGACAGGCGGAGAGCTCATGTTTCACACCCGTTTCAGACCAGCCACCCTTGCCTGAACCATCTTCCTCAACTAAACAACCCATCGCAGACGTTGGGCTCCCCCTTAAAAGGATTTCGCAGTTTCTGCATGTGGAGCCTGGTCTCTGTTACCTCCAGGGGGACTGGTCAACCCCCACCGCCCCCGTGCACTGCACAGGGAAGGAGCCTGAGCCAGCTCCTCCTTCACACGCTTCCTTCCTCCCCTCCTGCTGGCGCGAGCGGAGGGAACATCAGCTACTCAGGTCCCAGTGAGTCCTAGTGAGGCCTTCCTGCGGGTCGGGCCCTGTTTGTAAAGCTTCGCAGGCCAATGCTCCTAACAGTTCTGTACGGTATGTCCCACTGGCATTACTCCCGTTTTGTAGGTGACTGAAGTCCAATGTAGGGGTCAAGGTCATGCGGTTAGTAGGGACAGAGCCAGAACTCAAACCCGGGCTCCAAGACCACAGTGACCACGGGACCACGCTGCCTCTCACTGACGGAATAGTGGTGCAGAAGGCAAAGATGGCAGAAAAGAGGGAAGGAAATCCTGAGTGCGGGGCCTGTGCTGCTACGCTACCGAGTGAGCTTACACCAGTCATCTGAAGTAGCTGGTCTTGGTCTTCCTTTCTTTAGGGTGAGGAGTTTGGAACCAAAGATAGAAAACTGGCCACCCTCTGGGGCCTATGGAGCAGCCAGTCTTCGCTGGTCTGGCCAGACTAGTTAGGTCTGAAACTGACTGCTTTTAGGCAGGTGTGGCCACCCCCAGTCCCCACCCCTGCTCATTGCCCGAGACCCAGCCCTGCTCTCTCGCTAGTCACGCTCAGCCTGAAGCATTTGAGTGTATGAACCTTAGACTGAGTCATCTCCGTTCTACTGAAAGATTCTATGAAACTGGTGCTTCCTCGGCGATTAAACGTGGTTTGTTGTCCTACATAATTTCATGCATTGTCCAAGCAATCTGCTTTTTCACCATTTACTTAGGATACAGTCCAAGGTGAGAACTTCTGATGGCAGCAGGACCAGATGCCTTGACTGGGGGCCCTACAGGGGCTCAGGAAAATCTGCCTGGACCAAATGATGATTAGGAAGCTGTGTCTTGGAGGACAAGAGGAATTAGTGAGATGAAGCCACGAGAGGGTCTTCTAGAAAGAGGGGAGGCACAAACAAGACAACTAAGCTCAACTTTCAGTCCTGAGTTAGGTGGCTCAGCTGGGCCCTCCTCGTGACATAATTCTCAGGAAGAAAAGGGGTTCACCAGGAAGAGGATGCCCCCCTACATGGGGCAGGCAGCAGGTGCCCCAGGCCCTGTCCGCTTGTGTAACTCCTGCCTCGTCCAGCCCGGGGCAGGTGCGGCTCCTCCACGCTCCTCCGCTGCCGCCTTGCACACGGGAGTCCTCAGGGTTGCTGAGTCATAACGATCCTTGCCACGTGCATCCTTTGCACGACCCTCACAGCAGCCCCATGATGCACTGCTATTAGTATTTCTACTTCACGGAGTGCACACAGGTACAGAGTGACTGCAGAAACATCCCCAGAATCACACAATCCAAGTACGTGGCTTTGGTGCCTAAAAGCTCAGTCACAGATTAAGTGTTTTGTCACTAATAGTACAAAGATGGTGATGACAGTGGCTGGCGAAGATGATACTGAGGATGGAGGAGGAGTGTGTGAGGGAGAGAGAGAGGGAGGGGGGAGAGGCAAGAGGAGGAAAGTGAAGAACAGATCAGAGTCAGGGAAAGTCAGCATTTCTTCAAAGGCTTCCAGTGATTTTGGATTTGCTTCCATCAGGTGCAGACAGGACTTGGAAGGTTGGGCTCTCATTTCTGGGGCTTCCAAACCCATGGCGTCCTACCAGACATTGTCACCATGGCTAAAGGGATTGCGAATGGCTTTCCCATGGCAGCTGTTGTGACAACTCCAGGTAAGACCTATGGGCAGTTTGCGGTTTGCAGTGAAAGGAGAAAACACACGCATCGGAACGTGTGTGGGTTGGAGACAATGATGGGTGCTACACATGTATTTCCCAAGCAATAAAAAAAAAAAAAAAAAGGGACA